ATTTATTATAAAATAATTAGAATATTTAATTTAACATCATTAAAAAAATAATCATTATAAAATTTATTGTTTTTTAATTTAATTATTTATTATAATACTTTTTAGTTACCGTATTTACCAAAAAATTATTTTTAATTAAAATATATTTTAGAATTTTAGTTAATTCATTATCATTCACTCACTTGATTAAAAAGTGATAAAATATAATTAATTTTGAAAATGGCTTGTTCCAAGCTCGTTCCCATTTAGGGTTATAGGCAGTTTTTATAGTCCGGGGCCGTTCTAACATGAGAACGATTTATTTCCGACCCGGACAATTTTAGGGGTCTACATATATTACTTGATAAGATTTGATGGTCTAGATGTGAATTGCTTGAAGGGTGTGTAAACCCTTATTTTGTTGGACTTATCCGTTGTGTGTATGTGATATGTTATTGACCTATAAGATGAGATGTGATGAATGTGAATATGATTATGATTGTGGTTCCTCACATCAATGACCAGGGATGGCACGACCCCTAGGCAAGTCATGCTACAGGGAGGGCGTGACCCTGGCATGGTATGGGATGAGTGAGGCAATTAACAAGTATCACTTATGTCAAATATGGCAGCCCTGACATAGGATTAATTGCAATAGATTGTGTTGATTATGATGTGATTGTGGTTCCTCACATCAATGACTAGGGATGGCACGGTCCCTGGGTAAGTGATGTTACAAGGAGGGCGTGACCTGGCATGGTGTGGGATGAGTGAGGTAATTAACCCGTATCACTTATGTCAGTTGTGGCGTGGCCTTGACATAGTGTTAATTGTAAGATTTATGTGGATTGTGATGGATTGATGTAATTGAGATGTGAAGATGATGAATGATTGATAAATTATGATATATATATATATTCCATATAAATGTTTTCTTTTCTCACCGTACAACTTGTGGATGTTTTAGGTGAGGAAGACCCGGCTATGAGTGACATCTAGAATGTCAACAGTTGATTTATGGGTATGCTCTGATATTGTGACATCGGGGCAGATGATTTCTAGGACATGAATTGTATTTGTATACGGAGTTGAACCTATTAATTTGAAAACATTTTGTAACCTCTTATGTTTTATATTTCCAAGTTTCATTTTCAGAATATTTTGGATATTGAAGAATGTTTCTAAAGGTTTTTATGTGAACCCTTCTACCTATGTTGAAAATTTGATTTCGTTAGTTTATTTACATTATTACAATATATGTGTTGGGATAGTAAGGGTGTCACAGTCTGGATAGGGATGACAAAAATACCCACACCCGCGGGTATCTATGGATAAAATCCACTACGGATAATAAATGGATAGGCTAATTGGGTACCCGTGAATAATGGGGACGGATAATTTTTTACCCGTTTATAAATGGGGCGGGGGCGTATATGATGATATCCATACCCACGGGTACCCGTTTAATAATATTTCTTAAATATCCTAATTATCCTTGTACTACATAATCCTAAAACTACACTCTCTCATCTTATTTTCTTTCCATATCCGCACAACCCACACATTAATCATCACAATAAGATTTTATGTATTTTAAGTTATTTACTTTCGTTTGGAATTATGAGATTGAATTATTATAGCTTTCTGATATGAGACTTTCACTTATGAGATTGATGTATTTTAAGTTATTGATTATCTTGCATTTTTATTATTATTTCAACAAAATTAACGTTAAATACAAGTTCAAAATTAACATTGAATTTTATTTTTAATATTTCAATGACATTAAATATAAACTTAAAATTATTTCTAATATAATTTTTTTAATTTTTTTAAAAAATTATAAATATCCATGGATTTTCATGGATATCCGTAGGTATTCAAGAAATTCATAGGTGCCTGCTTAATGGATACCCGCATGGATATGGGGTGAGTGTGGGGCCAATTTTCATCTCACGGGGCGAAGACAGATTTACTATTACCCGCCCCATGTGGCCCCATTGCCATCCTTAAGTCTAGACACTCCAAAATGAGAGGGATCCAAAAATAGTATAAGTATGAGATTGTATAGTTGAGGATGACTTAAATGAATTAATTTGTACTACTTATACTGACAACATGCATCTTCTTTTTGGTAGCTTATCTCATCAAAAATCCACAATTAAGCGTGCTTAACTTGGAGTAATATAGGGATGGGTGACTTTCTGGGTAGTTTCCCAGAAAATGTGCAGTAAGGACAAAACACGTTGAAAAGTGAAGTGTCGTGAAATAGCATCCTTGAGAGGCCAAATATGAGAGTTATTACATTAATAAATTTATTAAAATTAAACAAAAATTTTCTGAAGATTATCTACAGATTTTATCCGTGGATAACAATTTTCGTGGGTTATCTACGAAAAAATTTTCGTAGATAATGTTATCTACGGAAATTTTTCTGTAGGTAACGTTATATACGACCTTATTACCTACAAATTTTTGGCTATAGATAATCCGTAGATAATTAAGACTTCTCTATGAATTTTCATGCTTATCTACGAATTTCTTCCGTAGATAATCCTGATTTTTCTTGTAATGCCAAGGGCTTCACTATAGTGTATGATGATGTACTCCTTCTCGTTGAACTAAAGAGACTCGATGGAATCAAGGACTAGAGGTGCCTAATCATCTTCAATGGTACACTCCTCCCACAATCGTTGCATTTCTCTCTCCTCCTCAAACTCAAAATCATCAATTGGGGGAACAAAGGATAAATAGTTTTCTTGCCCTTAAGTGTTTGGCTCCACCAAAAATGTGTCTACTCGTAGAGGTATTGTCTCGATTATAACCTTAGTAGACAAAGGTGTTGACCTTCTGGTAGGTATTGACTTTCACTACTCTCCACAATGAATCTTTTCCTTTAGCACGGTTATATACTCAATCTTGTCAAAGACTGAGCTTTGATACTAGATTATGGATAAAAGATAGACACTACACTACAAGAAAAATCAGCATTATCTACGGAAAAAATCCGTAGATAATGATGAAAATCCGTAGATAACTGATAATTATCTACGGAAAAAAATTCGTAGATTATAAGGTCGTAGATAACGTTATGTATGGAAAATTTTCCGTAGATAACGTTATCTACGGAAAATTTTCCGTAGATAACGTTATCTACGAATTTTATCTACGGATATAGAATTTATCTACGGATGCATTTATCTACGGAATTTATCTACAGATGCGTTTATCTACGGAAATTTCCATAGATAAGTTACCTATGGAAATTTTCGTAGGTAAGTTATCTACGGAAATTAGGTGAAACCGCTAAACCCCTGCCACAAAACATCAATTGATCATAAGACCTAACAGTAGAAGTCAAGTTATTATTAATTAAAATAACAAATAACAATTACTTGCAAAACTTCACTCAGAAAAAGAAGACAAGGCTAAAGATATTATAGAGTACCTCTCATAACAAGTAATAGCCGATTCCAAATCACCACGATTTTTAAAGATCACACCCATATTGCAATATGCTTCAGCATACATGGGCCTCTCTAATGCAGCCTTTTCATAGAAATTGAGGGCCATGTCATATTGCATCATTTCAGAATAGACCACACCAAGATTATAGTATGCAGGCTGCAAAGTTCATATAAAATAAAAATATATATCATGCAAATGGAAAACTAAAAAAATTAATTCGTTTAATGAATAAGAAATAATTACATACAGCATAGTGCGGATCTACTTTGAGGGCTTCAAAATATTTTTGAATTCCATCCTGAGTGTTCCCTGCAAGCTTTGTGTTGGTACCAATATCTGTTAAAACAATGGCAAGGCATTCAGCAGCTGCTTTGTATGAAGGATCCACTTGTAAAGCCTTCTGATATGACTGTTCCAAGTAAATCATTTGATTAACAGTGATAATCCACACAAATTTTCAACATCTATAAACACTAGCATGATTTACATTGTGATAAATTTGATTAACAGTGATCAATTTTTATTGTGTAATGAACCTAGATGGCTATCATGAGATACATGGATGAGCGCTGGACTCCCTTGAGGGGGGTGGATTGTGAAGTCCCACATCGGTTAGGAAGGAGAACGAAGCATGCCATATATATGGGTGTGGATACCTTCCTTGTGTGGACGCGTTTTGGGGTGGCATGCGTGCCATTGCCAGAAGCAAAACCGTGAGGGCTGCGACCAAAGCGGACAATATCCACATACGGGTTGCTGGGGTGTTACAATTATTACAATATAGTTAAAGCTATTTTTCATTGTGTCTTTGAGATACGATTTCCAGTTAACAATTGGAAGAAAAAAAATTGAATCACGATTGAAAATTAACAGCACAGTCAAGTTACAGAACAATAATTTCGGTTATGTTAGTAAAAACTGTGATAAATATCCAAGTTCAACAAGCCCTACCATTTATTCCCTCTAATATATAACACTTACATTGAAAAGAACTACAACTTTGAGAAGTTCATTAACAAGCACATATGCAAGACTCAATAAGACTCTGGTCAGTGGTCATAAACAATAAACTTAGAGTCGATTTGTACGCCATAGTCAATCTACAACAATAAGCAAGCCTGCATACTAAGCAAGACGGCATGACATCAACAAATAAACCCTTTACGACCTAAAATTCAAACTAGCGAATAGAACATGGAGGAATACCTCATCAACCAATGCAAATGCAACAATTTTAGCAGAGTTATTGAACAGTGATAAGCATACCTCGGCAGCCTCCACTAGGCGACCCTCGTCTTTGTGCAGAATACCGCAATGCATGTGAGCACAAGCATTCTGAGGATCCAGCTTGATAGCCTCGGAAAAAGTCTCAAACGCAGGCTTCCCCTTATTCTGCATCTGAAGGCATATCCCTTTCCCAATGAGAGCCTCCACATTTGCGCTGTCACTCTCCAAGACACGCTCGTAGAGCGCGAGGGCTTCGACAAACTTGTTCCTCGAACGCAGTACGTTCGCATACGAAACGGCATCGTTCCCTTCGCCACCAGCAGAGCCACTAGGCTCTGCAGCTTCCGCATAACCGTTATCGCTAGTTCCTGCTAATTCTCGTTCACTCTTGTTCCCGTCGCTGTTCTCCACCCCTGCCATCTGCACAAACAAAACGTGTCACGAAATTCGCAGCATAACAAGTGAGCAACAAATTCAATGAAGCAGAGGCAGCGACGTAGTCAGAATTCGTCAACACGAAATTGATCGCAGTGGAAGACGAGAGAGTGTACCCTAGCGAAGAAAGGAGCAGAAAAAGTGAAATTGGAGATGGCGCAGGAGGAGATTGAAGAAGCGAAGGTTTGGAGGGAGGAATTAGGGTTTTGCAAGTGAGATTGTTTTTTCACTCTTCAGTTATTTCAAAAAAACTATAAAATAAAAATAATAAATATATTTATTTAATTATAAATAAAAAAACTGGTTATTTAAGATATTAGTTGAAACTTATAAATAGTTTCTTTATCAGCATTATTTTTTATTTTTATTTCTGCTCAGTTTATTTAAAATAAATAAATAAATAAACATTTATTTTAAAATTTAATTTGAATCAAACATGTTATTATTGATATTAAATAATAATAAATTTTCTAATATTAAATTTAATATATATTAAATAATAATAAATTTTCTAATTAAATAACTAAAATTATAATATTCTGATATTAAATTTATTATATATTAAAATTAATTACATATTTATATCAAAGAAATTGCTCTAGATTTTAGATTTTATTTATTATGTTTTATAATAAATAAAATCCAATATTAAATCAAAAGATTATAACAATCATAACTCAAATCCAGGTAAATATCTTTCATAATCAAAAGAAATCCAATATTAAATCAAAAGATAATAAAAATTATAACTAAAATATTTATAAATTTTCTAATATTAAATTTAGTATATATTAAAATTAATTAATTAAATATTTGTATTTAAGAAATTGTTACAGATTTTAGATATATATTTTAAAGTTTTTATTTTATTAAATTAATTAAAAATTAATTATATTTTATCACTTTTTAATCAAGTGAGTGAATGATAATGAATTAACTAAAATTCTAAAATATATTTTAATTAAAAATAATTTTTTGGTAAATATGGTAACTAAAAAGTATTATAATAAATAATTAAACTAAAAAGAATAAATTTTATAATGATTATTTTTTTTAATGATGTTAAATTAAATATTTTAATTATTTTATAATAAATAAAAATGAAAAGATAATAAAAATATGTTTTACCTACGGAATTTATCTACGAAATTATCCGTAGATAAGTTATCTACAGAAATATCTGTAGATAAGTTAACTACGGAAATTTCCGTAGATAACTTATCTACGGAAATTTCCGTAGATAGCTTATGTACGGAAATTTTCGTAGATAGCTTATCTACGGAAATTTCCGTAAATAACTTATCTACGGATAATTTCGTAGATAACTTATCTACGAAAATTTCCGTACATAACTGGACATTATCTACGGAAAAAATTCCATAGATAATATTCCATAGAAAATTAAATATTATCTACGGAAAATATTCCGTAGATAATTAAACGTTATCTATGGAAAAATTTCAGTTTTTGTTGTAGTGTTAATAGTCCAAAACGGGTCGTTCTCAAGTTAGAACGGGCCCGGACTATTAAAACTGCCTATAACCCTAAATGGGAACGAGCTTGGAACAAGCCATTTTCAAAATTAATTATATTTTATCACTTTTTAATCAAGTGAGTGAATGATAATGAATTAACTAAAATTCTAAAATATATTTTAATTAAAAATAATTTTTTGGTAAATACGGTAACTAAAAAGTATTATAATAAATAATTAAATTAAAAAAGAATAAATTTTATAATGATTATTTTTTTAATAATGTTAAATTAAATATTCTAATTATTTTATAATAAATAAAAATGAAAAGATAATAAAAATATGTTTTACCTACGAAATTTATCTACGAAATTATCCGTAGATAAGTTATCTACGGAAATTTCCGTAGATAAGTTATCTACGAAAATTTCCGTAGATAACTGGACATTATCTACGGAAAAAATTTCGTAGATAATATTCCATAGAAAATTAAATATTATCTACGGAAAACTTTCCGTAGATAATATTCCGTAAATTAAACATTTATCTACGAAAAAATTTCCGTAGATAATATTCCATAGATAATATTCCAAAGATAATAACAGTTTTTCTTGTAGTGCTAGAAGGGAGTTTAATAATGTCTATCAAAATCATATATTTTTTTTAGTAATGAAGTAATAGCTCTAATAATAAAGAGTGTAGGAGAAGAGGAAAACGAAATACATGGTAATTTTTATACTGATTCATCTCAACTATCGAGACTAAGTCCAGTTCTCAATCTAACCAGATTGAATTTCACTAAAAATACTTTAATAAGCTACTTCTGACTCAAACCTAATTGTTCTTTGAATTGTCTCTTCAAGCAATCTACCTAATTATTCTTTTAACATAATCTCTTAAAGCTTCAACATCAAGCATTCTTTTATAGTCAAACTTCTCCAAGCTCAAACAAATATTTTTTTACCAAAGAATGAGTATTATTTTACAGATAAGTCTCTCCAAATTCAACTAGATGATGGTTGGTTTGTAGAGGCCATAGGTTGAAATAATATTTTAGAACTATATAGAATATAGATGACCTAATGTAACTCTAGTAGCACTAGTAGATTTTAAAACAAACAAGTAGTAAATGTGAAAAAAATTGATTAAGAAACAGGGCACAAAGGATTTGTAATAAATAGGGTAATATTCCTTTGTTTGTATTTCAAGCACATTACATAGTGTTGTAATGCCTATTTATAATAAGCAAGCTCCGCCAACTTTATAAATGTTAGGTTTATATATTTTTTTTTATTTCTTTACTTCATTCTAGACATTTAGTTCTAGAATTTTTGTAGTATTTTACAATATGGGAGTCTAGCTTTCTAGTATTTTCCTTTTTACACGCCTATAAATTTCTATAATTCTTTAGAAATTTTCAGCATTTTTAACATGGGTGACTACTTAAGTCTTCTATATTGTTAGGACTTCAAAGGACAACTATATAGCAGTTTTTTTTTTTTTTTTTTTTTTTTTTTATATATCTTCTGTGCATGATTTTATACCATCATAAAGATGTTGGCGTTTGTCTGTTTCTCAAGTATGGAAGTTCGTTGGAATTTGGTTGTACTTCAAATTTTTTTTTTTCTGGCTAGTCATTTAGTGAAAATTTGGCAAATCTTGGATTCTTCTATCTTCCTTTTATGCCCCCTTTGCTTATATAATATAATACACAGCAAGTTATCGATATTGGCAAACTGCTTCAGTATTTGATTCTATATCATGGTGGTGTTCAAACTTTCACAATCCCTTGGTTTGTAAATATGCTAATAATGAAGTGACTTGTATAGAGGTCAGATTCTTAGCGGTGATCACAAAATGGTTGTAGTCAAGGATATAAGAATTTATGATATTAATTAAGATAATACAACACAATAGATTGCTAGAATTATTATGGTTAGAAATTTTATATTAACTAATAATATGATGAAAATAAAATAAAATATACAAGTGATGGATTAATATATGATTAAAATAGAGTATAAATGAAGGTAATCATTGTTTTACAAATTCGATTTTTTAAGGATTATCAATATGAGAATATGAGGGAATTGAGTTTCTCCATGTGCAAAGGAACCGGGTCAATCAGAGAAGGGAGAAATACTTGATATTAACTTTGTAAAAGATTTGTATGAATTATGAAACACTTGGTAACAGTGAATCAAACATAAAATTGATAGCATGTATAAAATGTCAAACGGTTCCCCTTCTGTTCTCAATTGCGATTAGAATTCATCATAAACGATGGTATATATGTATATCTTCTGATACTTGAGTAATTTTGCTTCATGCCTTCTTGCAACAACAAACATAATTTGAATACTGCTTAATTTGCAGCATTTTTTAAAAATGAGTTATGTTTAATCTTTTATTTTTAAATTGCATGTTTTTCAACATATTATTAGTCCAAGTAGGACACTTGAATTCTTTAACACATACCCATATTCTAACAATAATACAAGCATATGAAATCCCTTTACAGGCCAAGAGAGAGAAAACAAACGAAAGCACTCATGATATTAACAATAATATAGAATTTCTTATAACAAAAGAAACAAGTACTGTTGCAATTTTCATATTACCACGCCATACCAAAACACAAAAAGACACGCTTGAAGTTCAAGTATTCAATACTTAAAAGTTAAAACACGTCAACAACATCATTTTCTACAATAATTGAAACATGAAAGTACTGCACTGTCCAAGACGGAAACTTTGGTCACATTGACACCCAGCTCCTCTCTTGTTATTGTAACCTGGATAATTATATATATTAAAGTTCACTTCTTTAGCTAACACCAAACCCTCACAACTTGCCAATGTCTCGATTTCCCACTCGCTGAAAGGGTGCGATGTCTTGTGAGTAATATGAATTTCACCAAAGTAAGT